TCGAACCGGCAACCTTCCGATTACAAGGCGAACTCCCAACTCTTGAGCCACAATCGCCCCATTTCATGGAAACAAGGGATTTTTTTACCACACAGATAGGGTTTAGACAGCACAGTACTGATGGACCAGGACAACCCACAAGTAGGTGACATATGTTTGTTATTCATGACAAGATCTTGGTTACAGTGGACCAAGATCCTGATAAGAGAAAAAGCCCAGCGGTGTATAGAGGGCCAAATCCGGGTGGGAACATCTGTCATGAAGGCTTGTTGGGTACTTACTGCTTCAAGGATGGACAAATAATGAAGTGACAGTACGGTGCTGGCCTGGAAAGACGGTGGCTCCACTTCCAAAATGCTAACTGCTTCAAGTTTCAGCGAATCTTCCAGGTCTTGGATACGTAGACCAACCAAAGCTGGCATCAACTCTCATCAAGCGCTACAAAAATTCTTCCAATAACTGAAAGATGGAGCTCACATATTCTGTCTTATCTTAATTTTCTTCCTATGAAAAATACCCCAGCTGGCTCACAGCGTCACTGACACTGGTGCAGCAGAGGTGGCAGAGTCGCACAACTATGGACAACTGCAGGTTATTGAATGCACCATTGTTAATCTTTCAAGGTTATTGCACATTACTACCCCGTCATTCTGCTTTACCCTGGATTTGGTTCTATTTGCTTGGATGGTCGTGTTGGCTTGTATTGTTGTGCATCTGCCCCGACACAGAGCATTTTAGGGATTTCTCTTTTTCCGAGGGTGGTGGTGGGGGTGACTATCTCTATTAAAGGACACCCAGCAGCAGCTGGCCACGCCTGCTAAATCCTCTTGACAAAACCCACCCACCAGCTCCATCTGCCTCCCAAGTGGAACCCCATGATGCACACACACACACACACACACACACACACACACACACACACACACACACACACACACCTTTCTGGTGCTCTTTGATCCCAGAGAGAGCAAAAGCCTACATCTGTTCTTACTACATCAGATCCTTTTAAAACAATGACGCTCTTGTTGGCATACACCGTGTAGCGAGAAGCCATGACACTCGTTCATGCACACACACACACACACACAGTTAGTGTATCTCCTCACCCTTGACCTTGAGGCAGACTGTTAAGCTTCGGGCCTTCTGCAGAGACAGAGACCAGTAAATATTTAGTTCGCCACTGCTTACAACAATAATGATCATTTACACTCGTTACGTCCTGAAATACTGAAATTTGCACATCTAATAAAATTGCAAACAGCAGAAATTTTGTTCGGAGGAAAAAACATTTCTTTAAAATATTCAAAGAAATATTTTTTGTAACTTCAGAACTGTCAGTGTGCGTACTACAAGGAAAGGTTGGTCTTAGTGTGTGAAGGAAAACTGAGGAACAGTTTGCGTGTAGAGCTGAAGCAATGTCTGAATGTGTATATATGTGTATATGTATCTACTGCTTTGTCCTAAAAACCTTTGTGAATACTGTTTATACATATTTGAACTTTATAAAAAGTTCTTCGTGTATATCTGCTGAAAGCAAATACAGACTCAGTGTTTGGTATAATCGTGATGTTCAGGTTGCATGTGAAAGATAAATATCTGGTCTGGTGTCCGACTGGTGCAGACCTGGAACAGATGTAAGCTGGATGCACGGTAAAGCCACACAGGTGATTCGAATTATTTGGCTGATTACACCTTCTCACGGGACTGTGTGTGTGGAAACACAACGTGAGCATCTCGTTCCTCCGTCAGCTGCGCTGCATCTGTTAGGGCGAAAGAAAACAATGCAAAATGTAATATTTCTGCTGCCTCGCAGAGAACGTTTGACTGTGTTTTACAGTTCACCTCACCGGCAGTGTGAGCCGTGCTGTGCAAAGCTCTAAACGTTTACGATGAAGAGGCTGGCTGGTATTGCTTTGGCTAAAATGGGTGTAGTTGTCACTTCTG